ATCAAAAAAGACAATTTTTTGAAGAGATGCACCATCAAAAGAGACAACTTTTCAGAAGCAGGATTGTCAGAATAACCCCAGATCACCAGCTGCCGATTACTTTCTTTGTGACTTCTTCATGACTCTCATCTGCTTGTTTCTCTTTTTGAGTTGTTGATTTTTCCTTCCTGCTCCAATTACTACACAATTTTAACCTCTCCGTCGTGCCTGAAATAGACCATGGGCCTACTAAGACCTTTGTTTCTGAGCTTAAGACATAGAAGGGCCCCGTCAAGGACAATGAACTACTCTCTGTGACTACACAGGCAGGTACATGAATTAGGCTTTGCAGAATTAAATCACAATTCATGATCTCTTCTGTCATTGTCTCCCAAATCCCAGCTGTTCCAGGATTGCAGGTGGTTGCAAGCCCAGTGCTGCACAACAAATTAAAACCTAAAGTTTCTAATTTAGGTAAGCAGGAGGAAAATTTGCGTGGACCTCTCAAACAAAATGGAGGCCAAAAACGTGAGGAGCTTGCTGAAGTTTGTTTGGAAAAGGCAAAACAAAACTTTGCTGTCTTGAGAGGGTCACTTCAGTCTCAGAGCCCCAGTAAAACCCATATGCAACCATGCAATSCAGTACAGTCCCATTGGACTCTCCTTCAGTTTTTAATTAAATTAAAAACTTCAACTAAAAAAATCTACTTCAAGAATCTGGAAGTTTCTTTTGAAACAACAAAATACTCAGACATTTTCACAATAAATATTTTAATATTAAAAAAGAAAAAAAGCCTCCATATGTGAATCAACTACCATCGCCTCTACAGRAAACTCACCGGCTGAGCTTTACCTGCCTTTCCCAGCAGTCTCGCTCCTTCCCAAACCTTCACAAGGGTCAATTTCCTAATTCACAAAACCACCACAACCAAAGCAAAGAATTGAACCAGGCTCACACACCGCATCCACACACACCCAGGACGATGTCCCAGYGAGAGGACCCCTCAAGCACGGAGTGGGGACTGAACGAGGGCCATAGTGCGCGCTCCCGCGGCCGCCACCGGCCTGCGCGCCTCCGCTGCCCCGGTAACGGCCGAGCTCCGCCCCCGGCCTTGGGCCCGCCCCTCGCGGGGTGGGCGATTCTGAGGCCCCGCCCCGCTCAGGGTGGGACGGCGGGGTGTGGGCGGGGCTGAGGAGCTGTTCCTGGTGCTGACCGTGCTCACCCGCAGGGAGCGGCTGCCGGCGGGAGCAGCGGATGCGGATCCGGCACCCCCTCGCCCGCCCCGGTGTCCCGCTGCCCCGGTTCCCCGCTGCCGCCGCCGCCGCGCCCGGAGCGGCCGCTGCCGAGGAGCTGCGCGTGACGCGGCTCCGCGACGCAGGCGCGCACTCGCGGCCGCCTGTGGGYGCGCGTGCGCGTTGGCGCGCCGGCACTTCCGGGTTCCCTCGGTGTCGGCGGTGGTTCCCCGCTCTGCCCCGGTGTGTTCCGCCCCCGGCTCTGGCTGTTCCCGGGCTGTTCCCGGGTAGCCCCCGCCGCTCCCGCCCCCGCCGCGCCTCGGGGCTGTCATGCCGGTGGCCGCCGCCGCTCCCCTGATCAGCTCCGTGCAGAAGCTGGTGCTGTACGAGACCAGGGCTGTAAGTAGCGTCCGCCCCACCTTGCCTCCGCAGGAGCCGGGGCACAAAAACTGCGCCTTACCCTTGTTTTCGTGTGTTGGGATCTGGTTCTTTTTGATCACACATTCAAAACATGCCAATAACTTAAAAAAAAAAAAGTTTTTCAAGTTCTTGTTTTCACCGTGTTTCTGCCTCGTGAYTTAAGCGAAGGATTGGCCTCTGACAGGGCCCTGCCGTGTAGGTGCTGCCAGAGTGRGAGTGAAGGTTGGGCCCCTGCTCGTTCTGTCGTGTGGCTGTCATACATCCAGGAGAACAGTGCTCACACCTGCCAGGGGGAGGTAAAACCGGACAGCTGAAGGTGTTCAGAATTAAGATTTGAATTAAGAATGGCTGAACTGGTTACCACCCGCACCACCCTGTTTTCTTCTTATGACACGCTTCAGTTCTCATTGTCTGAATGTCTGTTGAAACAGCTTCCAAAGTTTTCAGTCTGACCGCTGGAAGTAAGCTCTTGAAGATTTTTAACATTCCTTATGTCCTGTTGCAAATACTGTAGGCATGTGTTATTCACAGGAGTTTTTTGCCATGGGCAAAGTGTTTTGGAKGTTGGAGTGGTAATTGCTGCTGTAGCCATGTGATGAACACCATGTGAGTCAGAATCCAAATCTTGGTGTAGAAAACCAGAAAAAATACCACAGTGTTTATCACTCTTTAGCTCAAATTTCTTCGTGTTTCATAGTGTGTTGATTTCTCCCTTGTTTCGCTGGATGTTGGTTTTCTTCACTTGAGGTGATTTTGAAAAGGGTTAGATACCRTGGTCTTAAATGCAGCAGTTAGGTRTGGTTTCAAGTTCAGATGTTACCATACTGATAGCAGAAACATAATTTATACACTGAATCCCCTTGGAAATTTCCCAAAATGTCACAGATGACAAAGTAGGTTTGTGCTTTTGTGATAATTCCCCACTGAACAGCTTGTGAAACAGAGAAGATTAAAGCATGCAGAGCTACTGATACAAGTAAATTGAAAAAATGAAGGTTACACTCCACAATGTTACACTTTTTAACCTATGTTTAAATGGATTTTGGAGGCTGCCTTATTTATCTTTCTCCATGTTGCTGGTAAAGGCTGTCTTTTATTTTGTTTTCAGCTGTATTATTATATGTGAGTAGGGCAAAGRGGAAATGGGGTTTCTGAAATAGGCCCTCTATTACTCAATTTAGTTGCTCTTGGCTCACAACTCATGCYACATCTCAGCTGAGATTTGGCTTCCTGTTACTGGCTTTGCATAGATACCTGGCCTGCTTCTCTTAGAGCTGTGAGGCTCAGGGCCWGTATTGCACTTGGGAGTTCTGTCAGCTATCTGCAATTTTCTAGGCCTCTCCAGCTGATSCTGTCACATCTGGAACCATAGTTTTGTACGTCTGCCCAGTGGTAGCTGGCAGCTTCTGCCAGAATGGATGAGTTTGTCCATGCTGTGCTTTGTTCAGAATTCAGTGAGGGGTGGATCCAGCTGTCCTGATCRCTCCAGGGGGGAAGATGGTTTTCATCAGCTGTGAAAGGTAATAGTTCGTGGATAAACACCTACCATTCRAAATGTTTCAGCTGAACAAACGCATTTCAAAGCTGTTACTTCAGTTGCTTCTTGTGAGTGGTGAAAGTGGATTTTTTTCTCTGAGTAAGGTTATGTTATCTTAAAARCTGCAAATTGAAGCACTTTGTGGTTTGATATTCAAGTTCTAGTCWTTTTTTCAAAAGAAAAATTTAATAGGAATAATTTGGGTGTGATTTTTTGAAAAGACTTATGCACTTAATAAATGCATAGGCTAAGGGATGTTAGAAAGTACTTCTGGAGATCATGAAGTCCAGSCCCCAGCTCAAAGCAGCTTCAGCAAGAGCCTGTTGCTCAGGGCTCTGTGCAGCTGAGTTTTGAATACCGTCAAATATAGAGATTTTACAACCTCTGCAGACCACTTGAAAGGGTTTGWCTGTCTTACCTACACCTTCCTGTTACGTGGTTTTAGACAGAAGCAAGAAGCTATCAAAGCTGTCTGAAGGCTGAACAGAGCTAAAGTCAGTTCCCTCAGTCTCTCCCACTTATCATGGGCTTTGTCCTGTGGGAATATGGGTAGCTCTCTACTGGAATCACTCTGGTATATCAATGTCTGTCTTATACTGGGAAGTCCAAAATTGAACTTCTGGTTTGATCTGTCACTGTGACAGCTCATTTAGTGTCATGTTGTGCTGCTGACAGAAGTTGCCACTTCTTCTCCCYGAGGTATCCCTCATGCAGTCTCCTTTGCATAAGATCTCACAATCATGCAGCTACCAGCTGTAAGTCATTGGTACAGCATAAGCATCACCCGAGAGCTTTCTTCTGGTTCAGGTGACTCTTTTGATTTCCCTGAGGCTGTGGGCTTGCTAGATCCAGCATGTGGGATTTGGAGTTGTATCAGATATAGGCTGGGACAGTATCCTAAGATTTCTGTGCAGAAAAGGGATGATTTAAGTTGTAAGCAGTGGGTAGCACAAGCTAGTGGATTTTACACTARTTATACAGCTTATAACAGTAAAACCTCTCTGTATTAAAGCAGGAAAAAATTAAATGGATGAGGAAGTGGAAAAAGTGGAAAGGGTTTACAGAGGTCGTTGTTGGTTTTGTGTTTTGTTGTTTTGTTTTGGTTTTAGTTTGTTTTTTTTTTTAAGAGGAAAATACAGTAGTATTATTTAAGTTAAAGAGGAAAGGCTCTGGTAGTGTTATTGGAGTGAAATGAGAGACTGCTAGATGTGCGGAGAACTGAATTCATGGCATCAATTGATTCAACAGAGAGCAAAATTCTATATTTTCTATTAACATTTATATTTAGGATAGTTGCTGAAACCTACCTTTTAAGCCAATGTTTTGGGTCAATAAATGCCATGGAGATGTCTCCTGCTTGTCCTAGGAAGTTGAAACCTTGTTTAGAAGTAGTCAGAAAAATTAACTGAAGGTTTTATTCAGATCGATGCCAATTATCTTTCCTTTTATGCATGTATTGATTGCTGAAATGCACACCAGAGGGCACTAAAGATATTTTGGCACTATGATTAACAAAAGACAAAAGATATTTTCCACTCTTCTTCAGGGGAAGATGGAACTTTTGTGTATCCCCCAGATGAAGTCCACCTGAAAGTTGTAGGTTAGTTCATTGGAAATTATCATTTCCCTGAGGCAGYGTGACATTGAACAAGACAATTTGTGTCATC